ACCATCTTCTTCTGGTTGTTCATCATTTTTTTCTTCTTCAGTTGATATTCACATTGTACTGCTGCTTTTAGACCAATTTTCATTCATATATCATTAGGCTAATTCATAGGTGATTTTAGTAAGTAAACTAATGATTTTTACTCTAAGATTTCATTTTGGTAATTTGAGTATTTCTTAAAAAATTTACAGTCGCGTACCCAACAGGTAAGTCATATGTTGCAACAGATAGATTACATGTTGGATACATATTACAGTACCATGTCAAGCTGGGACTGAATCAGAAGCTTGTCCCAACAGATAAATCATTTATTGCAATCGATGAGCCATCTGCTGCACCAGATGGCTTATCTGTTGCAACAGATGGAATACCTGTTGGATACATATTATAGTATCAGGCCAAGCTGGGAAAGAACCATAAGCTTGTCACAACATATAAGTCATTTATTGCAACATATGAGTCATGTTACAACAGATGGCTTACCTGTTGGATACATGTTACAGTACCAAGCCAAACTAGGACAAAACCAGAAACTTGTCCAAGCAGGTAAGTCATATATCGCAACAGATCAATTACCTATTGCAATAGATGACTCATCTGTTACAACAATAGACTTACATGTGAATCATCTATTGCAATTGATGATCTACTTGTTGCAATAGATGATTGACTTGTTGGGACAATAATTGTGCATATGATTTTTAATTGTATATAGTCACTCAACTTTACTATACAATCATTATTAAATATTTTTAATAAATTCCTTTAAGTACCATTAATGGAAGAATCAATAACGATAGCTGTTGATTTATGGTGAATGGATTAAGAAGAACAATCGATTTATTTGGCGTTGGAAGGATGGTGACATGTCAGAGTCAATATTGATGACCGTCCAAAGGGATATTTTGTATAATGATTTTGTGAACTCAATCATTAGCTATTGTGGACTAAATTGGACACAAGAGAACAACATGCCCGATTCGAAATGCTCCATAATTATTGTAATAGTGAAATAACTATTTTGTAGTTAGTTATGAATCTTATAATTTTAACTCATTTTGGTTAATTGTGTATGTTCATATTTATTATATAAAATATATTAGTTATGCTCATCTATTGCAACAAACTTTGTATATTTTGCATTAGATGCATTATCTATTGCATTATTTGTTGCAATATATAACCCATCTATATAATTACCTTTCAATTAATAAGTTCAATTACATTTTCGATGCATTATAGAGTAATTACATGATCAACTAACTGTATTCGTCTTAAATAAAGTGATCAATTGATTATTTTGATATGAAATGATTCATTAACCCATAATTAGTGATAAATAAACTTATTTAATTATAATTACCTTTCAATTAATAAGTTCAATTACATTTTCGATGCATTATAGAGTAATTACATGATCAACTAACTGTATTCGTCTTAAATAAAGTGATCAATTGATTATTTTGATATGAAATGATTCATTAACCCATAATTAGTGATAAATAAACTTATTTAATTATAATTACCTTTCAATTAATAAGTTCAATTACATTTTCGATGCATTATAGAGTAATTACATGATCAACTAACTGTATTCGTCTTAAATAAAGTGATCAATTGATTATTTTGATATGAAATGATTCATTAACCCATAATTAGTGATAAATAAACTTATTTAATTATAATTACCTTTCAATTAATAAGTTCAATTACATTTTCGATGCATTATAGAGTAATTACATGATCAACTAACTGTATTCGTCTTAAATAAAGTGATCAATTGATTATTTTGATATGAAATGCTTCATTAACCCATAATTAGTGATAAATAAATTTATTTAATTATAATTACCTTTCAATTAATAAGTCCAATTACACTTTCGATGCATTATATAGTAATTACATGATCAACTAACTGTATTCGTCTTAAATAAAGTGAT